TATTGCGCAGCAGGGATTCTTAAAAAATTGGCGCTTTTTGTCCACGCACTAATTTCACGTACCCGCTTATGTGCCAACGCATTTCAGAATAAAAGATCAAGCGGAACAATAACAACAACAATAATATATATTTGATGCACGGGCTCAGGTGTTAATTAACAACTCCAGGTGGCTTTGAAGTTTGTGCTCTCAGGATGGGGACGTCAGGAATAAGTCCGCCAGCGCTTCGCAGGCAAAACATAAAGCACGAACCCGGTATTGGTATTTCAGTTGTAGAGATTAAATGAAACCGATGCCTAGCGTCTTGTGCTCTTCAAACTAATGACTAGACAAATTACATTTTTATAAAATGTTTTACAGGTTTATAGCATGCAGAACATCGGGAAAGTTATCCAAGCATATATGCATGCACTCTTAGGCACGAAAAACAAACAAACACAAAACTGACAGATGATAGTGGTTTCTGGCATTACAGCTGCACGCGCGTGAGAAAGCACGAATTATAAATCTTGACCCAAACTCCAATCTAACGATCTGGCGTCATCTAGAGAATGGCGTCTTACGAGGAACGCAGCGGACGCTGACGTCCGCTTTAGACCTTCCTGGTACACTCCGCCAAATGTTGCAAAGCGTCCTCCCGTACACGTTTTCTCGAGGTTCTTTATTACAGCCGCAAAACACAAGCACACGATACGATGTATATGCACAGATCAGGGCGAAGGCGAAGGTAGCTTGTGTGGAATGATTCATAATGGGTTCACACACGACGCGTGAGAAGGCGCGCATTTGATTCATAGCGCAGGTGTTTGGCGACGCGTGCGGAGACGTGCTGTTGTTTCGTGGCCCAAGTGTTTGGCGACGCGTTTGAAGAAGGTGTAGGAACAAATGGTCCCGGAAGTAATGGTCCCGGAACTAATGGTCCCGGAAATAATGGTCCCGGATCTAATGGTCCCGGAACTAATGGTTGTGAGAATCGGCCCCGCCATCACCGTGGGTGGACGCGGGAACAGGACCGAGCTTCTTTTTCTTTCCATTGCGTGTTAACGTTTGCACGTGCGCCCCTGTGTGTGGGTGAACTGGCGACGCTCGTGCGAGCTGGGGCAGGGGACGCTTTGAGAGGAGAAGAAGAAAAGGACAGCACGTGCTGTAACCTTCTGCGGCGACATTCGAAAATTAGCTTGGCTTGTAAATAGACGTGTTTTTTTTTCTTCCCCATACCCGCGGAGCCCTGTCTGGTTTATTCTTCCGTCAGCGACCATCAGCTGCCTCCGTCGTCGGGTCCCGGCGCAATCCCCAAGAAAGAACATCTTTACTGGCGCAGTCGACAGGATTGCGTCAGCGGACCCCGGCGGCGTGATCTTCGCAACGGAATCGGCGGACAGCGACTTGACGCGGCACTGGTGGAGCCTTCTAAAAAGAAGACTGGACCACCGAGCTCCTTGAAGACTGGACCACCGACCTACTTCGTGGTGACAGAGCTACATCGGACCTGATGCCGTCCCACTCCAGCGAGGAACGCCTGAGTCTACAGCTCGGACATCATTTTCGTGCCTGACTATTCTGAGCAGCGGGCTGCGTCTGTGATCCGGCGGCAGTCGTTGACCTTACGGTAAGGTGATTCTTTGACGTGTGCCCGCCATGGATACAGACAGTGCAGAGCGGCGGATGCCGGTTCTAATGCCCGAGCAGAATAGGGGTCGGAATAGGGATGTTGACGGGCCAGGTGAATCGTCACCTTCGAGTGGATTAGGGGCAAACTCGCAGACACAAGGGGAGGGGAACGGAGGAATCCGATCAGACAGCTTAATTGAAAAGGAGATAGAACTAGTGAGGGAGAAAGAACGGCTGTTACGCCTCGAGCTAGAACTAGAACATCTACGCTCAGAAAACCGAAGGCGAGCCAATGGAGGCGGCATGGAGTTCAACCTCCGAGATGAAGTTTTTCGCTTTTCGAGATTGATGAAGGGAGTGCTGACTCCCATGCCGTCGTCCGACATATTAGTGCCGAGCTGGTTTGATGGCGTAGAAAACGTCTTCGAGACATATGAAGTCCCTGAACGGCTCAGAGGATATCTTGTGCGACCTTATTTCACGGAGAGCATGCGTGCACTAGTGAATAGGCTGAACATGGGTGAGAGAAGTGGGTATGGTGCGGTCAAAGAATCGGTCTTGTTAGAGCTCGGAGTGTTGCGAGCTGAGGTCTCGAGGCCCTTTATTGAAACCACCACTTCTCTCAAGAAAAAACACGAGAACCCAAGGCAGGGCATTATGCCTGAACATTATCGGGTGAAGTGTTTTAAATGCAAGGAATTGGGGCACCTTTCCCGCGAATGTCCCCGGACGAAGACACCAGACGGAGATCTTTTGTTTCTCAAGAAAAGACTGGACGCCGAGAATGTCACTGTGGAGGAAGACTCCAGCCGTGAGCCCGACAAGGTGACGACCGATGTGGGCAAGACCGACGGTAACAACTTGGACCACCAAGGTCAGAAGATGCCAGACTCATCAGTCCGCGAGGCGCCTCAGATTATGTTACAGGCCGATGATACGAAGCGGTCGTCAAAGAACAATCGCAGATGCGTGTCTGTGCAGGCGGACGTTGACGACAGAAATGAGCTGAATGTCTCCCGTGCCTGGAGGACGTCCCAGCGAGCCGAGGATGACCACGACGAGCAGGTGAACGTCGACGACGAAAGGCCCCACACTTTGCCTGGGCGGCAGGCGTCCCGGCAATCTGAGGACGACCCATGTGTGAACTTCGACAACGTCAAGGCCGGTCCCGACTTCTTACCTGGGTTGCACAAGTTCCGGCAAGCCAATGACGATCAAGTTGAGAACATTGGCGTCAATTGCAAGGAAGAACCTAGAGTATCTCCTGGGAGGTGGGCGTTCCGGCAAGCCGAGGACGACGACGGCGAGAACGTGGACGACGTCGAAGGACCGAACTTATCGCCTGGGCGGCAGGATGACCATGACGAGAACGTGAACGTCGACGACAAAAAAGAACCTGATATTTTGCTTTGGTGGCAGACGTTCTGGCAAGCTGATGACGACCACGGCAAGGACGTGGGTGTTGACAAGAAGTCGGACAACTTGTCAGAGCGGCTGACGTCACAGCGGGCCGGTGGAGATGTCAGGGAAAGCGGGGACAGCGACGAGGAAGCGGTCTTCGAGATGAAGTCGTCCCAGAATATAACTAAGGACGCCGATGAAAACTCGACCAACTACCAGCCGGCCACGTGTGAGAGAGCTGAGATTGCAAAAGACATCGACAACGACGACCGCCAGCGAGGCCCATTCCTGATTCGTAAGTCAGGACAGAGCATAAACTGTCGTTGCTCTTGCGCGGGGATGTTCCGGAACCGGCTATGCACCATCCGATTCAAGCCCCGTCGAAATCTGGATGGCTTGGATAACTTGTCAGCAAAGAGACCGAGGCTAGGAGGCTAGATGCAACGCGAGTTTTAGCACGACATTAGTCACTGCTTTGGAGCCTTGGCGGGCACAGTAAGAATCACTTTACTGGCGTGTGATTTGCATTTTGGGGTAAATTTCTCTTACAGTTTGGATTCTTGCGGGTCGAGTCACAAACTCTGTGCAAGGTGTGACTGATATGCGTTCGCGTTTGAGTTTAGATGTTATATATATTATTTTTGACATTTCGGGTCTAAAAAATATACTTAGTCGGGAGGTGTGAGAATCGGCCCCGCCATCACCGTGGGTGGACGCGGGAACAGGACCGAGCTTCTTTTTCTTTCCATTGCGTGTTAACGTTTGCACGTGCGCCCCTGTGTGTGGGTGAACTGGCGACGCTCGTGCGAGCTGGGGCAGGGGACGCTTTGAGAGGAGAAGAAGAAAAGGACAGCACGTGCTGTAACCTTCTGCGGCGACATTCGAAAATTAGCTTGGCTTGTAAATAGACGTGTTTTTTTTTCTTCCCCATACCCGCGGAGCCCTGTCTGGTTTATTCTTCCGTCAGCGACCATCAGCTGCCTCCGTCGTCGGGTCCCGGCGCAATCCCCAAGAAAGAACATCTTTACTATGGTCTTGGAACAAATGGTGTCAGAACTAATGGTCCCAAGTCCAAGGAAGGACAAAATGGACCCGTAAGAATATTGTTTTGAAACTAAGATATGCCATGCAATATACTTCCTCTCTTAATCAATCAGTGATTTCCTGGTAGAATGAAGGATCTCGTCTATATTTTGAGGTCGGTTACTTCGAAGAAAGTGGTCGGGTATTGAACTTAATTTTATTCAAAGTCGACAAAATATTTTTGAACGAAAGCCCACCCTAAACGCCACTTCGCGGCGCCCGAATATTCGCTAAAGTGTCATTGGGTAAAACGTGGCCGTTCGCTAAAACGTCATTCGATAAAGTGGGAGCCTCCCCTGTTGAAGCCATGAAACTCGAATTACTTTCATCTCGTCATGACGCGTGGTGGTATCACACATAACGAGCGGAGCCCGATGCCTTTATAGGTGCATTATGTTTGCATAGCGCGAAATATGTCTGAGCTTCCCAGAAAAATATAAAAACCGATGAAATTCGCGCAACGATCACCCTCGAAATCGGAGCTTTTTCTGATAAATTGGAAACCCTAAATGTTTACCGGCGAGTGTTATTAGATTTTATCGGATTTATCCAAAAACGCCAAAGCTACATTGGCGATATTTATCTGGGACAATGTTTTCCTAGTTTGTATACTTGGGATTATTAGTTCCGGGACAATTTTTCCGGGAACCATTGATTCCAGTACCATTTATTCCGGGACCATTTGTTCCGTCTCTCGTTTAAAGACGCGCACTTAGTTGCCTAAGTGCGCGTCTTCTCAAGGAATGCGACGTGTGCCAAGACGCGCGGTATGTTTGTGCCAGAGGTATTCGGCAGGTCGTCAACTCAAGTACCTTGCACTGTACCACGTGGCGCTCGGGACGAACACTGCCGTACTCTGAGTTAGCTTAAAAAGGAATGAAATTCCACACTAAAATAAAACACACCGTTTAAAAAGTAGGAGGCCCAAAGTGCTGGCTGTATGACAGCCGAAACCCTGGCGATGCACGGGAGAGTTGGGTCCACGTTTTGGGACGCAAAGAACTTGCCGTCGGCATACGTAACCAGCCGTCGGAGCAGGGACCACGCCAGCAGCAGTTGCAGTTGGGGGGGATCCAGCTCCGTTAGCAGATAGGAAACGAAGCTCAGGGCCGCCTCGTCGGCCAGGACCTGGTCTCCGCCGCCGTACATCGAAGCCGTGTGGTTGGTGATCGTTGATACCCAGCGCTCTGCATGTGGGCCATTAAAAGAAGAAAATCCGCTGGTATTTGGCCGCTTGTGGAAATATAGTGATATAAAAATGAATACGTGCCTCATAGCTTAGATAAACTAGGATGTGAGAACCAATATTCCCCCAATATTCGAACATATTTCTATATTTCTTGCAAACACATCAAAAGAATACTTTGACACAATTCGTTTTGGGGGAATCTGCCCAACTCATGATGTAATCGACCCCTGCACAGCCTTGCCGCGAGCCTAATGCTGCTCAGCATGATCTAATCTTGACTGTCAGTTGTCCCCACGGAAACTGCTTAGAGGCGTATATGGCCGGCATCATAAGAAATAAAAGATGTTAAGAAATCTCTGTAATGCGAAATTAGAGCCCAGCTTTCGACGAGGAGAATTCGAGGGCATGAAAGAAAGGTTAGGCCTTTCGCCCTCCTCCGGTCCTCTCCTCCTCCCCTCCCCCTCCTCTCGCATCTTCCTCCTCTACTTCTCCTCCTCCCCTCCACCTTATTTCCCCCTCTTCCTCCGTACCCTCCCCTCCTCCAACAGTTTCCCCTCTAAATCTTGGTGAAAAATTTACGCCACGTGACCTCATGCCCAATTCAGTTTCCCCGCTAAATTTAGCAGGGAAAATGACGTCACATGACTTGGTGTCACGTCACCTTTGAACAAATTCATTTCTCCGCTAGATTTAATGGGAAAATTAATGTCACGTGACCTCAACACCAATTCAATTCCGTGCAAAATTTTGCGGGGCATTGCATTGGTCTTGAGGTCATGTGACGTCAATTTTCGCGCTAAATCTAACGAATAAGATGACATTGTCCACTAAACCTAGCGGAGGAACTGAATCTAGCCGCTGAATTTAGTGGAGACTTGAATTCAGGTTGAGGTGACGTGACGTCAATTTTCTCGCTAAATTCAGTGCGGTTACACCGACAACCGCGAAGCCCGGAAACGGGCGCCTAAGAGCTGTGCTCTAAAAAAGCAAATTGTATGATGGGTGCTTAGACACGTGACCTTGGTCTGCCAGATAATGCCTACATTGGTACTTTCCGTATTTGAGAGATTTAGGACGTCCGGTACAGGGGCTGTACTGTTTTTGAAGTGCAATATGCAGCAGACTTGTACATAACGAGTTCCAAGTAACCGATTACTTGTCATCAATTACACTTTAATGTAAGTTTCTAACGGTTTAATTTATTTTCTTTTATGCTGTAATGTTCGCCGTACTTCAGTTACTATTTTCTGTAATGAATTACTTGTAATCAGTTATAAGTTTCCGAAAGAGCTAAATTTATTGAGTGGAGTTTTTTTACGTAAAAAGATCATTGTCTGCCCGTGGTTCATCTGTCTATGTTGCACCAACGTTAGAGACTTTTTTCGACCCTTAAACAACCAGAAAACAATACCAAGATACCAGAAGGAATGTACTGTTAACCGTCAGCGAAGTTTTGACAGTTGAGTTGTCGAGAATGCCTTGTTTCTCGCGTACGGAAATACAGACAATCGGTGAAGGGACGATTTTTCCAGGCTCCTTGCTGCAGCCTCCTGCAACACTTTCAACAGGCGGTCGTAACAGTGAAGAGCTTCGCTTTCTAAAGGACTCGGAAGCGTCCGTCAAACCAGTGCGCAACCAGGAACTGGAACGCAAACTGTTTACGCGCTAAATACACCCCTCTTCCTTCAAGTGCATTCGTCGAGAGGGTATCCAGCGTCGAGGAAGATATCTTAACCAGGAAAGGTGGAAAGATGAGTGGCAAGAAATTCCAACAAGAACTGCTTTTGAAGCTGAACAATGTGTGAAGAGCAAAAAAAACAAAACAAATGTTACTACTTTGAACATATGAAAGCATTTTTGATTTCTGAATAATGAGTTATACGAGTATAATATACAGGAGTAAAATTTTTTCTGGTAATTTCTCAATTACTTTTGTGATGCAGTAATTAACTATCTGTAATCAGTTACATTTTTCACTTATGTGATTGCAATTGTAATCATTTTCTCTTTTTCAGTGGCACGTACAAGACTGTCACGCAGTAGTTATATTCTAAGGTACGACGGTACAATGCTCGTTCATATCCGTGCTCCAAGATGCCGTGCACTCAGATACTCACTCACCGATCTCACCCCCCCCCCCTCCCCCTTTTCCCAGCGCACACACACATTGAAAAGGGTTGTCGAGTACGGCTATAAAAATAGACATTTGTGATGGCGAAGATGCCAAACATTGTGCAACGTTTTCTTTTTTATTTATTTATTTATTTATTTATTTGAAATACTATCGGTCCTACACAGGACCAAGATAGGAGTGGATTTTTTACAACACAAAAAATACACACGCTCAAAATGCACAGATTAATAACACGAAATTAACACAATGATGAAATGACAACTCTAGGTACTGCTGTCAGAAATCTCTGAAATAAGGGAACTAAACTCTTCTCGAGTTTCAGCGGTAACAACATGTGCGGGTAGCTTGTTCCAGTCTCGCGCTGTTTGTAAGAAGAACGAATACCTAAAACAGTCCTTAGAAAACTTCCGCTCTTCCACATACCGAGCATGCTTGCTGCGGGTTATACGCGACATGCTCTCCTTAATATACTGTTGCTTATTTACTAGAACCAAGTTATTCATTATGTTATAAAAAAGGTTAAGCCGCTTTTGCTTCCTCCGCACCTGAAGGAGGGGTAGATTTGCCCTTTTATAAAGAGGTGACACAGAGTCCAGCCGTCTATAGCTAGAAAAAACAAAACGTAACGCACGCCGTTGAACTTGCTCCAGATTTGATATAAGATATTTAACATGCGGGTCCCAGACTTCACATGCGTATTCTAATAAAGGCCTTATTAGCATCTTGTATGCTGTGAGTTTTGTTTCTGGGGAAGCGAGTTTAAGAGTGCGCCGGATGTACCCTAATATTTTGTTAGCTTTTCCGATTATATTGCTAACGTGCGGAGTCCAACTTAGGTTTGAGGCCATTGTAAGACCAAGGTATCTAAACTCTGACACTCGGCTTAAGGCTTTTCCTTGCAGCATATACATATACTCTAACGGCTGTCGTTTATGAGTGATCGTCATACATACTGTCTTGTCTAAGTTTATCGACATTTGCCACTTAACACACCATTCATTGATCTGAGACAAATATTCGTTTAGCATAATTTGATCATTAACGGACATCACTTCAGTATAAATAATACAATCGTCGGCAAATAATCTGGCTTTTACAGGTGAATCTTGGATAAGGTCATTAACAAAAACCAAAAACAGCAGGGGACCCAGGACAGAACCCTGTGGAACACCCGAGTTCACATCACATTCGTCCGAGCTAACCCCATCAATACTTACAAACTGTCGACGATCATTTAGAAAGGCCTCAATCCAACGAACAATCTTATTATCTCCCAAGATGGAAATCAATTTAATTAAGAGCTTTCTATGATTAACTTTGTCGAACGCCTTCTTAAAGTCTAAAAATATGATGTCTGTTTGTCCCTTACGATCCGATACCTCACAAAAATCATGCATGGTTTCTACTAGTTGCGGGACCGTTGACAGCCCCTTGCGGAAACCGTGCTGGTACTGGCTGAGAACGTTATTCGATAAAAGAAATTGCCGGATATGTTTAGAAACAATATGCTCAAGAACTTTGCACGATGTAGACGTTAGCGCTATAGGTCTATAATTGCATACTGACATAGCATCTCCACTTTTCAGTATTGGAATTATCTTACTGAGTTTCCAGTCATAGGGTACAGTGCTAGTCATAATCGACTTATTAAAAATTAAGTGCAGATACATTGCCGTCCACTCTGCATATCGCTTTAGAAAAGAATTTGGAATTTCGTCCGGCCCCATGGATTTGGAAGTTTTTAAGTCAAGCAACAAAGCCAAAATACCCTCAACTGACAGTTGCAGGTCATCATCAGCCCGTGGAATTTGAGCTGGTGATCTAAACTCTACAGACTGCTTATCGTCTTTTGTGAAGACGCTCGCAAAGAACTCGTTGAATTGAACTGCAATCTCTCGCTTGTCATTTATAATTCTTTGCTCCGTTTTGATCTCGGAAACTGACTTCCTAGCTGGTGCCAAATGCCTCCAAAACTTTTGCGGTGACTCACGGATAAACTTTTGCATTGTCACGTTATAAAACTTGCATTTAGATTCTTTTAGCACAGATTTCAGCGCCATGCTTAAAGCCGAGATATCATCCGATAACGCCGAACTAGGTGTACGACGACACCGCAATCTGCGCCGCCCTATTTTTCTTTTTAAGTGAATGGCTTCTCTCGTCACCCAAGGATTATGCATTCGTTTACGTTTTCTTTTCAATGGTACGTACATGTCTATACATTTATGAACGATTGTTTTAAATTTCAACCAGAGGTCATTAACACTTACTGACTCCTCACGACTAAGTTCCTCAAACGGTCCATAGTGGTAATCTAGTTCGTCTAAAATAGCCGTGTCATCAGCCATGCCGAAGTCTCTGTAGGACGAAACGGGTCTGAGCGTTTTTCTAAACGGCGTCAAGGTCATGATCACGCTAACTATCAGGTGATCTGAAAAACCCGGGGAAAGTTCAACTTCGTACGGTCGAGATGCAACCCCTTCGCTTAAAAATACGAGATCGAGAACTGACTTACTATTGCCCTGAATGCGTGTATACTCTCGAACAACCTGTTTTAGCCCATGGGAAAAACATAAATCTAGGATCCCAGTGGCGGTTTCACGTTCCCGCGTTCCAGGCAACATTTCATCCCACAGTACACCCGCTATATTGAAATCTCCCGCAATTACAACATTTTTGTGCTGTACGCGCAAGTGGAGCAGGAAGTCATCTAATTTATTAACAGCATCCACACCTACTCCTGGAGAACGGTAAACAGCACCAATAACCAGTTCTTGGGATCCTAGATACACCTTACACCACGCTGTTTCTATGTCAGGTGGACTC